GTAAACTGTGGATTTTTAAAAAGTGCATTTTTGATTATGACACAAACTGAAAACTGTGTTCCAGAGGTCGCCTCATCAGGGGACCTGCTTCACACAGCTGATGAAGGGCACCTGCCTTTGTTGGCTGTGAAGACCTCAGGGACTGGAGGTCAAACCCAACATCAGAACATGGTCTGTGGGGGAGTTGTCTTTTGTGATATAACCGTTGCTAAGCAACAGAGCCAAAGATAAACACATTAGTGATCGTGAGCTGTACTTCTGTATCTGTAGTACATAGAAAACAATTAAGTCATTTTGTGTTTTTAACCAGAGTACTGGGTGTTCGCTGGGACTTGGTCCTCCTTTGTTGTTGTGTTTTTTGAACAGTAGTCGTTTATCCTTTAGTTTCTTTTGTTGTATTATTCGTTGGTCCAGAGAAAATCCTTGACCTGCAATGTGAATTCAAAAGCAAGGTGAGAAATAAGGATTTTAATTTCCGAGATGTAAAAAGATGTGTTTCTGTCGGCTAACCTTCTGACGTTGACTCAGTAGATTCACTTGAATAAACCTGAATACTAATCAAATCCTTTTTTTTTTAATCCCTTTTTCCAATTTCAAAGCAGCACCAGGGTAAACTATTTGAAGTTAAAGCTAAATGTCGAACAACATTTGACTTGAATGAATGAAAATTCTTTTTTAAGGAAGCTTAAAGAAAAAGCATTGATTTGTGGAAAGCAGTGATGTGTCATTGAACTTAGAGCACGTGTTTTAATGTTCTGTTCCAGAGATGAACCAACGTTTTGGCCCAAAATGAGGTTTAAATGAGGATTAAACCTAAAACTTCAAAGAACATTTGGCCTTTTGATGTCAATCAGCATCAGTGTTTCATGGGCCAGATTAGAAAGCCCAGGGGGCCGTATCTGGCCCCCGGGCCGTAGTTTGCCCTTGTCTTCTCTATTACTCCCATCGTTAAACAGTTTGTCTTTAAGGCTGGGATTTAGTGAGAAGATAAAAGCCCTGAGTGCCACACTGTGGTGGCAAATAAGGCTAAATGCCTTAAACACCAACACAAAATGTCCTTAAATTAAATGATTGCATTAAGATAACACCGGCTAACAATTCAAAAGGGGCCGAGCAGCCTTGTCACAGTGTGTTGGTCAGTGTGCTGCATTTCAGTTGCTGTTGGTTTAGTTCAGGAGGGAATTTAACCGTAACATACTTTTAGCCAATACCATTGTCATTTTTAACACCTTCATCATTCGTCATTCTGTTCCTGCAGCAGAAGAACAATAACAAACAACATCTTTATAAAATGTGACTTTAATTGGGAGAAAATGAAAAATCTAAAGTGTGTTTGTGTGTTTGGTTAATGAGACCACCAACCCACTCCACTGCCCGTCCTGTGGTCGGACACAGGGAAGCAGCGAAGACTGTAGTCATTTGAGAACTGCCCAGTGGTGATTTTTATTCCCAGAATGTTACGGCCTGATTACTGTAGTACCTGCTGAAGTATTCATGTGCACAGTCTGCACACTGTTTGATGTGCGGCTCTGACACTGGAGGGAGAAAGTGTCAATGTTTTTGTTCCTTCTGCTCGACTCTCCTAGAGCTTAATGCATGTTGACTTCCTGTGATGAGTCGGCAGACGGAAGCGACCTGTCCTAATAAAACTGAAGGAGGATTCCAGACTTCTGTGTTTTAACTGTTCAGCATTCCTGTAATAGGGAATTCAAATGTTCCTCTCTGCTGCCCCCACAGGCCAGTTGGTGGTGGGAACCTGTGAGATCGTGATGCTCAACAGAGACAGCAGCGTTCCCAGGCGCACCATCGCCAGGCAGACGGCCCGCTGCGCCTGCAGGAGAGGCCAGATCGCCGGGACTACAAGGGCAAGGCCGGCTTGTGTGGATGGTGAGTTCACTGACCTTTTTCTAAACCAGTAGAAATCAGATGTCCATTAAGGACAGGTTCATAGACATAGACAGACTAAAAATACAATCTGGATTTCACTTTTTAAAAATGTCGAAAAATGATGCACAGCTAACAGTTAGCTCAGGTACAAAACATAGAAACAGAAACTGGACACAGTTCACACCAAACTGACAATAAAAAAAACAACCACAGATGTGAGGCCTTATATGATGATGATGATCCACGTTGTAATGTTTCATGTGACTCTGGTCTGCTAAAACACAGCACAGCCTTACCTGCAGCAGCAGTACTTAGGAGTCCCTGTGTGATTAAAATGGGCCGCGTCCTTTCTCCTTTGACATTTGCTTGTTCCACGAGCCAATCAATAAGCAGCGTATGTGTCAGCCTTTTTGCTGCCTTTTAGGCTGTTTAACACCTTAATGTGTGATTGATAGTCTGCATCTGGCCCAATACTCCGTTTGACTTTAAATCGCTTGTAGTGAGCATGCAATGAGGGGGAACAAAAGAAGCTGAACAAACTTTTAAAAGTGCTCTGATAAGTGTCAAGTGAAATGAGAAGAAAAAAAATGGCTGCATTTAAAAACAGCTGGTGGAGAAACACTGACCTCTTTAAGATAAACATTTATTTTAAGACAGCCCTATGCATAACAACTGAGTGGACCACATACAATGATGTAAGAGGCCACATTTGGCCCGCGGACCTTGAGTTTGACATATGTGATCATACATATGTCAGTAATATACATGTTATGTTATATATAGTAAAACTTAAAACTTAGTTAAAATTTCCGAATTCTGAATTATAATTAGAAAAAAAAGTCAAAGAAAATCAAGCTGAAATAAGCTAAAAATCCCAAACTACCATAACCTCTGTTCAGTACTTCAAGTACAAGGCCGTGTCGACTGGTTTGTATTCATAACATGGGCCAGGAGGCTGGTGGGACTGATGAACAGACTGGTGTTGGTCTTCATCTCACAGCCCTGACACGCGGCTGCTGTGGCTCAGTGTCACCCTCTCCAGCCTGCCTTTATTCACCTCTCCTTCTCTGCAGATCCTCTCAACAGATGCTAATTAACTCACAGAGAACCATGATTACAGCAGCAGGAAATTGATTATTACTGGCTTCCCATCGCACCACACCTTACACTCAATTTACACCCCGCACATTAAACGTGGAGCCTGTTGCTCCTCGACACATTACAGGGCTTCCTGTTAAAAAGTGCGATATTGTCTGTTGTTGCTCGGCTTCTGAAGGGGATTTCTTTATATTCCATGAGAATGCAGCGAGGCCGAGGTTAATGCTGGCATTGTTTAGATATCCTTTCTGACCTTTACTTTAGATTACGTTCCGTCATGTGTTTGCCTTTCAGATGGTTCCTCATAAATGCCCCCTTGACCTTCTAAGCTCATAAACCCATTTGCCGACTTAAAAGCGTGTTTATTTATTTGTATCCCTCACAGAGGCTTTTCAATAGTCCATTTATTTCAGTGGGTTGTTATTAACGCAGCAAGGGCTCACCGTCCTCAGGGTCAGTTATTTATAACGCTAGCACAGCGGTGAATTGCTGCCTTTTTGGACACATGGGGACAGAAAGTGAACATTAATGAAAGTGAAACCATCTCTAACAGAGTTAACCAAAGGGCTCAGAGCTGTGAGCTGTTGTTGTGTTTAGATGAGCTCAAATGTAATTATTTATCACTTTCATTTATCCCTGGAAACCATTGTGGCTTTTTTTGCTTTAAAAAAGTTTTCCAAATGCACACATTATTCCACAACTTGCAATAATGTGATTTGCAGGTAATTTTTAAAAATCATGTCTGAAGGATGCAGACAGAAAATGGATTAAAATAAAAGAAGTTGTAGGAAAACTGTCTGTAATTCTTTGTTTAGAATTGTGTTTAAGACTTTAACTGTTTTCTAAACCTTTTCAGAAAAATGTGATGCAGCAAAAAAAAAAAGTTTAATAAAATGATAATGCCGAGTTAGGAATGTAGAATTTGCAAATTAGTTTGTCTAGAGGAGACCAAACAACACATCAATGACATTAGTGGAACCTTCAGTGCTCACACGCACCAGGCTCCGTTTGGGTTTGGGGCTTTGTTTCAGTTGTTTGTCAACAGTCAGATCCTGGAGCTTTACTCTCTGAATCCAGAATGTTGAATCTGTTGTGACCAACACAACAACCACAAACTGAATCTCTATGGTGTTATCAGTCTGAATCCTGTTATTGTAAACGTACGGCCTAGACTAAAGGCACAGTGCGTGCACTTTGATCTCCTCTGTCAGGAGAGTGAGAGCACGCTGCTAACAGGAGCTGCTGTATGGCTGCAAGTGGTTCACAGCAGGGTTTGACTTTTACATGTGGTGTCCAACTATTGCTTTCCATGTTTCTGGTCGGTGCCTACGCTGTCACACAATAATGCATTACTAAGAAAATAATTTAAAAAATAAAGGGAGCTGCGGCAACGATCCGTCAGGGCTGCGAGGCAGGTGGGAGCGTGAGTGATTGTCAACCAGCTGCGTTGAACAATCGTCCCTTGCTAATAAATTCAGAGGTGAAACGATGGCAAAGACAAGAAACATTACATCCTGTTCTGCACAGTGTGTCTTTGTCTGCAGTCCTGTGTTAAAGGCTGGTAATCACACAAAATGCTAATCAGGGACCAAACGGAACAAATGTTTTTTCAGTTGGTTTAGTTTTTTGTGTGTGTGCCCTAAGGCAGCCAAACTAAATATTACAAAAATAAATATTACAAAAAGAAAGAATTAAATAAATAAAAACAAAAAGCTGTTTATCTAGTGGCTACAGGATCGGCCTCGTGGTCCCAGGGTTGCCAGTTCAAATCTCTTCATGGGCAGTGGTGTGTCGAGCTTGCCCTCTCCTGCCACAGCTTAGTGTTGCCCACTGCTCCTGTTTGATGGACGGGTTAGTGCCGTTTTGTTGTTCGTCTTTATGAACAATAACAGATTCTGAGAAAGTCATTTGATATTTTATGGATTTCCACATCACAGACTGCTGTTCTGACTGAGCGAAGACAATAACAACACACATCACTGCAGAGTCCCCACTGAATGAATCTGAATCTGCCCTGCTGCATCCCTCGGACAATAGGATGGCAATCTGTTTAGAGCATGTGCCAAACATAAGGCCCGTGGGCCAAATGAGGCCCCCAAGTAATTTTATGTGGCCTTAAATTTCCCTTATAATAAAGTACACAGAGTAATGTACAATATTTGTACCTTGAATAAATAATAATCAATTGCAGAAACATGTATTAATATGTTGTGAGGTAGTTACATTTATAAAGTCCCACAGTTACAACCAGCCCCTCAAGGAGAACTCTAAGTCCCACAATTACAACCAGCCCCTCAAGGAGAACTCTATTACTGATGTGGCCCCCCAGTGAAAAGAGGGACCCGCCCCCCACTTTGGGCACCGCTGCATTATGGTGACCTCTAAAAGGCACAGCTGCACAGAGTAAAACTAAAGTTGAAAAAATGTCTGATAAAACAAACATTATCTTCAGATTTGAATCCAATGTAAATGATGTTCCATAGTTTAATCATCATGTTTTTCAATATCTCCCACAGAACCCGCTGTTCTGTAAAGATAAGCACGGAGCGGTTATTTTCCTGATAATACAATTTGGGAACAAAGCTCTTAGTTTAACCTCAGCTGACTCTCCTCCCCGTCTTCTTTTGAGTTTTTAATATTCCGACTTGGCAGTTATGGATCGGCCCGTTCACATGTCTGCCTGTTTATCTGTCAACCGCGATAACACAGGTAGGAGTGGGAGAATTTTTAATGGAAATCACAAAAATGACACATCTTACCACGGTGCTCACACATTTCCACTGCCAGTTAAAATGATTGGCACGTTAGCAGAGCCGGCTCTGTTACAAATCAAAGCTGAATCTTTAATAACCGTCCGCTGCTGCTCTGCAGCTGTGACGGACGGAAAGTTTACACAGAAGTATTTACAAGAAAAGTAAAAGAAACCATAGTGCATTTTGGTGCAAGAAGAAAATAAAGCAGTGAATTTATTATTGGATGAATTTGACATTCAACCAAATTTGCGCTTTATTTGTCAGAGCACGTCAGGAAACTCCAGACAGTGCATTCAAATTAGAGAATTTCATCCCCGTGAACATAATCTCCATCAGGAGCTGGTGGATTTGAATCACTCTGCACAAATGAAAAAGTAATAAGTTAATGAATGAATAAAAAAATCCAAAAGGCTTAAATCTGATGCTGCCCCTGGGAAATTTCCAAACCATTCTGCAGCTGGTGACTTAAAGCAGAAAATTGGACCAGTACCTTCATCCTTCTTCATTGTGCTGGTAGCCAGACTTCTATAATGACACACCAACGAGCTTATCAGAGCCGCACAGTGAATAAAGTTTGTTATAAGTCAGTTACCTCTGAATGCATCATCTGCTTGGCCCAGATGGCAGCTGCACTGTTGGTGCTGCATGTGACATCACTCACTTCTTTGCCATTTGTTTCAATTTACTCCACAATTTCTCACCATGTGCTGCAGCTCCTTTCTGTCACTCCTTCTTGCCTTTTTTCTTGCCACACCTTACAATCAATGATGGCCACTGTGTTAACAGTCTGCCGACCAATGGGTACAGTACAGTCTATGACTGTTTAAATGATTATTTACACTTAATGTGGTCTGAACATGCTGTAGGCTGGGCTAAAATAAAGAGGTATTTCATATAGTTATACTTTAAATACACAAGTAAATAGAGTAGTTACACACTTTTTTTTTTATTTTTACCCGAAGCAAATCAACTCAAAAAACATTTATTTCCCTGACAAAGTTTTTTTTTAACAAAGAACCTGACCAGAGAGGTCAAATGTCAACATTTTAAACATAAAATATGACAGTGTTGATTTCTACCACAACCACAATAACAAAGTATGTAGATGCATAAAATAAAAGGAACTGTCTTGTTTGTTTTAACAGCATT